GAGTTCATCCAGTTCCTTAAATATCGTATCCAGTACCTCTTCGATTGGGTCAACTATCTAGAGCTCCTCTTGTTTGTTTTTGCCATTTTATTTGTATTCATTTATACTGAGGATTGCTACTGTCCTCATAAATGGCAGTGGGAGTTGGGGGCCATAGCCGTCTTCCTAAGTTGGATTGACCTCGTGATTTTCATCAGGAAGCTACCCGTCACTGGAATATATGTAGTGATGTTTATGAATATTTTCTATATTTTCTTGAAGTTGGTCTTCCTCGCTATTCTCCTGGTACTGGCTTTTGCCTTTTCATTTAATATGCTCTTTAATGATCCAATGAGTGAAGCAATGGGAATAGTAAGTGAATAATGACACACTTAATTGTAACTGATCTCTTTTCTTCTCTCCCTCTCTCTCTCTCTCTAGCGCACTCCTTTTATGAACTCCTGGAGGAGTATTGTTAAAACTATGACAATGACGACTGGTGAGTTTGAGTTTGACAACACGTTCCGTCAGACTGGGTCACAGTCCGAAGCAGGCTCTGATGATATTCAATTTCCGTTTGCTTCCTATGTACTGTGGATCCTGTTCCTAATCCTAATGCCCATTCTATTCATCAATTTACTGGTATGTCCTCTGATATTTTATAGTCTTTACCCATTGACTCTGCCCACAGGTCGGTCTTGCTGTTGACGATATCAAGGGGATCCAGGAATCAGCTGGAATCAACCGTCTTGCCCTGAGAGTGAGTGAACATTAACACTGACCTCATTCTCCCTCTCTTTCACATATTCCTCCTTCCTCCTCTTATCTTTAGGTTGAGCTCACCCTTACAGTAGAGGAGTACCTCCCATTGTGGCTGAGGAAAAGTCTTATTGTTGGTAGACATACAATATACCCCAACAAGAAGCTTGGATTCATCAAGCATCTCCTTTACAATGTACTTGGAGTCTTGAGACCTGATTCTGCTGAGAATATCAAGAATGCACTAAATGCACCTCCAGTAAGTCAAAGCAGAAATAACATACAATACACATGTATACTTATATATATATATATATATATATGAGTCAATTCTTTTGCCTTATACTTAAAGTATTGTTATACTGCTATTATTATTATTATTTTTTAGGCGCCAATTGAGGAGGTTCAGCAGCAGAATCAAGCTCTAGTTAGACGTGTTGACGATCTATGCTCAAGTGTTGAGACACTTTCTGAACAGAATGAGAGGCTGTTAGCAGTGGTCTCAGCTCTTGCCGAGAGCCAGGGTGTGGCTAGTCATTTTCCTAGAATTCCCCCATCTTCCCCTGCTCACAGTTTGAAACCTGCCCCTGGCAGTACCTCTCGCGGTCGTAGCCCCTCGGCTCTCTCTGAGAAGACAACAACCTCATTTATCTGACCAGTTTAAAACAAAGAAAACTCTAAAACTGCTATAGTTTTTTATTAGTTTATTCATAGATATATCTATGGTTTATTTTGCTGCTTTATTTTTAACATTAATACCAAAAGTAGTTTTCTATGTCCTCTCCTTATTTACCAGAACATAAAAAATTTAGAAAAAAACAAGATTGAGTAGGATTCTAGAACAAATTAGTAAAAAAAATAATGAAAAAAAGGACAAGTAGGATTCTGAACAAGCAACAAAAATACAAAATGAAAATCCTACTCTCGTCACATAAATATCAGTACTGGTACAGCCCTGTTGGCTCATAATTGCTAATCATGAAAGTCGGTTTGGCCTGATCCAGTATAAATGCTTATCATGCCTGTACCATGGCTGACTCCATGATTGTATCAGGACTGATTAACCAAAATCTATGGTCCATGCTTGATATCAGGCCTGGTTTCAGGCTGAATCAGGCCTGATCAACGTGATTACATTTGGCTGTGTCTCTCATAGCTTATACTCATAGCTTAGATACGCATCTGATTACATGTCATTTCCCTTGTAAATTGCGGCCCCGTCAGCCTGTTCCTTATGTAGAGTAGTCCCTAAAAGAAGGTAAATGTGCTTTTTGGCAGTATGAGACTGAAATTAAGACTCACCATAACTCTACTCACCATAGATTCTTTATGGAGCCTGTCTCCGGGCCCGCCTTCAATTTTGTCTGACCGGGCCTGCAGTCTCGGCCTAATGCAGTGGCGGATCTATGGGGGGGCCAGGGGGGGCAATGCCCCCCCAAAAATTTTTTGGAATAATGTAAACTTTGGTTTACCTATGTAAACTGTGAAGCAGCTGCAGTACTGGACTATGTAAACAATCTTTAAACCACAATAGAGCTCATTTTAACAGGCTTAGTCTTTATAATTTTTACTTCCCTAAAAGTTTTGCACAAGCTTAGTTGACCACACCCCTAATTACCCCTCCCATTTCATAATTGCCCCCCCAAAAATTAAATCCTAGATCCGCCCCTGGCCTAATGTGAACTTCAAATAGACCAAGTAGGCTAGCTTTAAGCTCTAAACCATCAGTGAATTGCAAGAAGTAAGTAAGAAGAAGATTTGCAAGCAAAAAGCACCAATGTTTAAATTTTAGTAGTGATCTAGTGATCTGACGACTCATGTCCTCCAAGATGGTGGATAGCAACGGTTGCTATGTTTATTTATACAAAATGGGTGTGTTTGCAATGGGTCTATATGCGTTTTTTGCACTTTGCAGCCCTTAGCACAGCCTAGCCCCTTGTTCCCTTCTTATTTCTTTTTCTCTGGTGCCCCATTTGTGAGGAAGGAAGACCAGCAATGGCTGAGGGGATAGGAGGAGGTGACAAGACTCGAGCAACGCCAATGGTACCTCTTACTGGAGGAACACCAAAAATGAATCTGCAACAAGTAGGCCTGCTGTGGTGACAATTATTATTGATTGTTATTTTGAAATAGAAATATTTTATGAATGTAGAATCTACTAAATCATTGCTGTTTCACTTTCTTTTTTTCTTATCTCCATTCAGGCAGTACGTGATGGTCGTGAAGAGGTGTTGAGACAATGGCTGGGTCAGCTAACAGAAAAGAAGAAGAGGATACTTATCAATGCATACGACTCTTTTGGCTTCACTGCTATGCACTATGCTGCTAGATTCAATCGCTTTAAAATGATGCAACTCCTTATTGCTAATGATGCCAGTAAGCAAAGGGCCAGAGGAATGGGAGCATTATGCACTTAGCTAAATTACTGTGAATTGCAAGTTAATCTGACCAATCAAATGCCCTTGCTCACATGGGTAATGGCAATTTGATTGATCAGTTTCATAAGCTTATTAATGATAATCAAATTGCAATTTAGTGTGTGTATATATGTACATGTCTTTAGAAATAGAGGGTTTGTTGATTTTAATCAAAATAAAAAACGATTCGTTTATTATGCTTCAATTGTATCTTAGTTTCTATTGCCACAATTGAGTGTGTGTTACATGTAATATAGGTTACATGTACATTATATAGCCTTTTCAATGGCTCTTGATTTTGCTGCATTTAGATATTCTTTGTTGAGTGTGATCATGACAATGTAACCTTTCATCCCTTGATAGTGTCATAAATACACTAGCACTATTCATTTCTA